CAGGATATTAAATCAAGAATGGATTGTAAAAGTGTCGAGATCAAAAGGACCAAAAGGGAAAATATTTAGTTTCATGATTTTCTCAGCAGAGGGCAAAGGGACTGCATCAGTTTGTCTCCTTTGGCCGACAGGACCGGAATTTTATTGCCCAACCTATGTCCAACTTGGTTAAACATAGGACCGGAACGGGAAAACGCTCGTGTCCAACCAGGTTGGACATAAGACCGGAACGCGAAAACATCCATGTCCAACTAGGTTGGACAAAGGACCGGAAAGGGTTAAGAGTTCATCTACAGTTACTGATAGAACATATATGCATCAAAGAGATTCTGAGGCACAGCGTGCTACATCTGCCAATATACGATAATTATAAACACAATTAGTTAAACATGAGGAAAATAAATAACGATGGAAGGAACCATGAAATATCAAGAAATGGGACACACGTGCGAACGAAGCCGAAAGTGGATATCGTAATGATCAAGAAATAGTCCCGATGAATGGATTTGACGAACAAAGAAGTGCTTTTTCAAAGACCACATCGTCGGTAACGGTGCCAGCATCAGTTTCGGTCCATCGACAATCTGAATCTTCGGCGAATACTTAGAGCGAACTCACGAGCAGGCAACGTACAAATGCCATGCATGGATACTGGCTCCGTAAGTAGTGATCTGACTTGATCATATGTCTGCCCCTAAGACTTGGTTATAGTTGTACCGTAGGTAATCTCAATAAGGAATTGACGTCAGGAAAGATGGAACGGTTTGGTGACTTTGGTTGACGTGTCCAGTGAAACTCTAGGCAGCAAGTGAACGCAACCACAAAGCGCACCCGTGATTACTATGGGTGTTGAAATGAAACGGGCACTTTTTAGTCCCCTACCCTAGGCTACACTTAGACTATGAGCAACAGCCATTACCCCCTTTCATTTGAACCAACCTAGTATTAAGACATTTGCGTTCAGGTCTTTCACGATCGTAGGCGTGTCCTTGAAAAGGTCGTTCTCAATCATAAGACTCTGTACAGCTCCAATTTTTAGGTTTAAGGCGTGCGGTTTAAGGTTCGACGCGTACACGCGCTACTCTCCTGCAGCTCCCCTCTCGGCAATGATATATTCAAGTTGCTCATCTTGCACCGAAGTTTCAATTGCTAGCAGGTTGAAATAGTCCATGAATTTCAAAACCAACTATTGAAGAGGACTTTGCAGGCCATACAAAATGAAATAGTTGGCCGGCAGTTTGACACCCTTGGCCTAGACCGACCCGAAGTTCGTGGATGTCTTCCACAGGTGTTTCTCGAGAACGGGATGGAGGTGCTGCTGCTTCATATCGTTGAGAGTGCCGCTGAGTTTTAGGGCTGCTGACTAAACTCGAGAATTCCCGAGAAACAGTTCCTGGAAGACATCCGCGAATTGGGGTGTCCATCTAACGCTCGCACTTTCCCTCAGGCCTTCGCAACAGTCGGATCCGTTCTTGAGAATAGGAGAGTCATTGTACGATTTTACATTGTACGATATATAAAAAGGAGATTTTTATGGATTTTTGATGTATTGTTGGTCAGAACGCCACTGATCCGTCACGAATAGTCTCAGTCTGTCAAGGTCAACTGGGAAAATAATAGGAGAGGAAAGTAAAAAAGAAAAGAGTTACACAGTTGGAAGCTGAAGATCACTTACGTAAACGAGGCACAACTGGGATAATGTGGTTGGGCTGATTCGAATCCCGGGCGAAGAGAAGGATTCCTAGGCGTTCCCCATTCTCCATATCTCCTCTCCCTTCTCGAGGAAGAAAGGTCCCTGGAAGGGCCCATTCCATTCATCCATATTATTGCCTGAGAGTCTAAGACAGAGAGCCATGATATCGCTTTTAATGCCGAATCGTGGTCGACTTTCTTGTTTCACTTTCGTAATTGAATTGTTGAATTGCCCCATCCTCATTCAGCCCTCGTTCAGTGGCTCTGATAGGGTACCCTGATCAATGACTGAATGGCTCAGGCTTCCAATTGAAACCGAGGATACCCCCCGTATCCTTGGTTTCAATTGGAATTAGCCGTAGGCAAGTCTACTCCCCAACTTCATTAGTCCCACTTACATTTCGGTGAATATCTTCCAGGCTTCAGAATAATACAGACACCACTCTGTGTGCCACATACAGGAGATACAAGAGCAGTTAAATCTTAAATGGGCCTTTGCAACCCTTGAGCCAGCCCAAAGGCCTTATGCAACACTGTGGAGGTCATCCTTTCTGAAGGACTGTTATCGGATGTGGTCCTTGTGTCAGTAGGCATCTCTTCCTCTGCCATCGCAATTAGCTGCATCATGTGTTTTCGATATGTTCCATCTAAGATAATGTATGTATAGTGTCAGCGGCTGAGTCCATATTGGGCCTCACTGCAATGCATTTTGTGAAACGGGGTGAAAAGTGATTTCACCTACCACAGCGATGTATTTCTGACCCAGGAGTTGCTTCCATACATAATTAATCTACAGGATGTCCCAGAAGTCCTTTTACCCTCATGTTTTCTTTCAGATAAATTACAGTAAGGATTGGTGAAGAAAGTAGCATTCATGAGTGACGAAAACCCCTTTACATTGTCGAACGAGTGTTATTAAATGTCACAATACAAGTAAAAATGCATAAATAACTAAATGCATAAGTTTCATTCTGCTACCCTTTTCTATTAGGAAAAAGTACAGCGGTATTGTGACCCGTGGGACACCCTGTACAATAAAACAATTCCTGCTGGATGCAGTTATTGAATTCAGAAGGACTTGGAGGGGTTTTTCCAGTGTGAAAATATCGCTTGGAAATTGAATTCAATTCTGACGGACTTTGCCACCCTGCAAATTTCTAGCAGTGGGTATTTTGCTTGTGAAGTAGGGAGATTCTATCATGGAGTTAACAATAGAAACCGTGGAAGGAGAGCATGCCGAAAAATGTCGGATCTCATTGAAATTTATTATTTTTCAGTGGTCAGGTCTCAATGGTTCGGATTTATGCTGCTTGGTTTTTACCTGTGCAGGAGCAGTCCAGTAACGTAATGAGTGTGATGCAGACAAACAAATAAATAAAAAACTCAGGGCTTTCAGCCCTAAGTTTAGTAGTATATGGCTATTGATGAGCCCTCCTCCTTCCTAAAGGGGCGGCCAGTATGGAAATGTTACATCCTGAACAAGAAGGCCCGGTTTGGTATAGGAGCGACATGGACATGGCCGCGGTCAAGTGCAAGGGCAGTTGACAGAGATCTAAGCCTGTTGTAGCTGTTTCTTACAGGAAATGAATAAAAGGAGTGGATATGGCCAACAAGTACGTCCTGACGCAAATCAGGCACAGGAAGAGGCTACAAAATATGTTCCGCCACCTTCTTGATATCAATGAGTTCAACTCTAATTGGTGCCTGAAGCTTGTGGATACTGCTGACAGCCACATGAATTTCAGGCTGAAGTTGGTGACAGTGCTTACCGAGAAATACGGCCAGTCTACAGCACAGCCAAGAAAGGTGGTCGGCCTTGTTCAACGCCTACACCTGCAAGTCCGACGGGGAGACACTTTCTGGCAACGAACCCATCTATTAATATATGACAGAGGGAGAGCTCTCGTGAGCGGATTTTTCTGCGTTTAGCAATTAATATACTTGCACAAACGATGAGTTTATTCTTCTATAATAGTTATAAGTGCATCTATTACTTTTTAAGCGCTTATTGTAAGTGTGTTTGCGTACATGTATAGATATTCCGCTAACGAGTGCATGCGGAGGAAAGGAAACTCCCCAGTACGCAGCAAAAGAACTCGCCAATTAAGGGGTTACATGAAATCAAATATCCGGAGAATAGGCAGTGTTAGAATGACATTCATCATGACACGGTTTTTGTTGCACTACAGTGACACTATATGGAAACCTAAGGCCAATATACACTTGGCTGGTCTCCCCAGTGTATTAGAGCCTTAACTCATACTCGCCCACTCGATGGCGAGAACTAGCTAGCGAGTACTTGCCAAAGTGTATCCATGTCTTTACTTATCTAGATCTTCATGAAAAAATGGTTGTGTCTCGGGATTCTCTTGATTAATTTCCAGCAACGACACGGGCGACACAAAAAGTGTGAAATGAAAAATATATATTCCACAGACGCGCATAAGAAATGAATTTCCATGTGGCTGGTAACTAATGTTCGACCACCGCGTATGCTTCATGCACGTAACCTCATACTCAATTGAACATGTGTCCTTCCGCCTAGCCTATAGCCTCGAAAGGCATCGCGAGTTAGGCTAAAGTAGCAGTGGCCTTGGTCAGAGCGACCCTGATACGAAGCCCCTCTGCTTCGGTCAAATCTGTCACACCCTGTATAAGAATAATCAGAAAAGGATTGTTATGCGTTACTTACAAGAAATATTTTTCCCCATGAGGACAACGATCCTCTGCATCAGATCTGCTGCCGACTGGATTAGGGGGAGAGGGTTCAGTGGATCCTCTTCACCCAGTCTCTTCTTCATAGACAATGACAACCAAATAATTTTCATTAGTGTAATTTAATTCCTTCAAATGACTAGTACCACCAGATACACAGTGCCTTCACCATTGTATCGTTAAAACATTTTTAAACTGTGAACTCACTCAATAATTCCTGAAAATATAATACATGGTCTCAAAGGAAAGCATTTCAAATACAGTCCTGAGAATATGCTTAGTGCTCTTTCTAATAGGATTCAATGAAGTTGAATAATAACATGCTCTTCAAAATAGGCGACTCTATAGAGAGGTAATATACTACTAAAAGGAATCATTCCTTTGTAATGATGGTATTTGAAGATAGCTATTATGAAACATTTTGCAGAAAAAACCTTCTTTAGATGTAACTCAAAGTTGTTGGTTTAATGCTGCAGTTCTTCTGAAAATAGCGTGACATTTAAATTCATGTTTTAATTGCTTACGCAGTGATTTTTCTACAACTGAGAAAGTAATCCAAAACGCTCCAGCTGTAATGAGCCATTCGAGTTAGATGAAGCAACCAGTTCCTAGTTTAAAATATATCCGGCATACAAACATGCTAAGAGAATATGAGACGTGATGTCTACAGGCGCATTCCAGAATCATTACAATTAAAAGTTAGAAAACCATAAGACCAATACATGGAGAAGTGGAATCAAACAATGATATGGAGAAAGCAGACCTGAAGAAGACGTAGGTGTAGAAGGGAACCTGTAAGGGCCAGTGACAGAGCCTCTAACACTCCTCCTTGAGACCCATTCCTGCTCCTCTTCGTTTCAAGCGGCGCTGGAGGGCCCCATCCATGCCCCCATTTCACCCCCCTCTCTCTAAGGATATCCCGGATTTGGTTTCTTTCCTTTTCTTCAACTTCAGACACCTCCCGTTTGAATCCTAGAATGTTTGTCGATTGGTTTGAATGTGGGTGAATGAGGAAGGATAGGATGGAAAGAAGACTGTGATAACAGAAACTGGATGGCTCTACTCGACCCAAATATTTGTAGGGAAATTGTTTTCCTCATATCTGAAAGGAGGAGACCCATTGTGCTGTTATTCTGGCCCTTAAACCAAATTCGATTAATCGTATATCGTTTGAAAACAGTAATGTCATTGTCCAGACTCTCTTAGGTCCAGCAGTAACGAATCGTGCGCCCCAAAGTAAATATTTTCAAGAGCCAGGGCATCGACCAAACCCGTCTAAACCCTCTTCCCGGTTTTTTCTATCCCCACAATGAGGGCAGCAGTGATTCTGGCGTTGAACAGCCACTAGTTTGAACACATTCCGAACTCATACAAGTTGCTTCGCGCTGACCTTTTCAGCTCCTCTCATGGGAGTAGTGGGGCTCCACCTCATCATAAGTTGCCTTTTGATTGATATTTGCTAGCGAGTACTCGCCTGAGATTTGAAATCTTTCAAACTCGCAGCGAGTGCTAGCGAGTGGGGTGTTATACTAAGCGAGTGGCTCTAGCGAGTGTTAGCGAGTACTCGCAACAAGAATTTTCGAGCCAAGTAAACCGCGATGAATATTCTAATGTTCTTTCTTAATTTTTGCTGTAATGATCCTGGACTATTCATTGAAAGTAGGAAAAGTATTGCAATGCCCATAATGGGGGAGGAATAATGAAAGCTTTTCATAAATGCTTTTCACACTTTCTACGACTTATCAAAATGCAACATTGTCAAACTTGAATAGAGATGAGAATATGAAGAGCTTCAGAAATGCGAAAATGTGAAGCAAGACAGTGAAAGCACGTCGGTAGGAAGGGCGTAAAACGGGAGAATAGCTAAATGCTTGTGGAATCCATCGCTGGTACAGCGATAAAAAATCAGAGGACGTATGAAAGATCCACCGATCCAGCGAATTCACTGACAATTTGGAGGTGTGAACTTCGTCTTCTAGTCAGCTTGGTTTGTGTCATGGTGGCCCGGTTTCATTCTGTAATATGGGATATTACCCTTTTTTTCCTGGATGGGAACATGATGGAATGTACTGTAGTTATTATCCCGATGACATTATTACTCCATTTGTTCCAAAACGTATTTTCGGTAAGGATTTATTTAACGCACGCAGACCTCACATATTTGTGTGGGCCCCTGAATAGGATCGACGGCCGTATTTGCGGTTCTTGTAATGACAATTGTGAGACAAACAGCACATCACCCTTCCAAGATCACAAAAAACCGACTTGTTTCCAGGTCTAACACTTTCGGCGAACCCCACACAATTAGTGACGTTCGAAGTCATTCAGGCTGACGGATAGTGGGTGACCAAGATGCAACTGGGCATCTGGTAGGGGTAATGTCTGATTTCGGACGAGCAGGGTCTTTTTTGTGGGGCTGGACCCGATGCTCCCAAAACTCGTATCAGGGCAGTTCCAGCGTTTTGGGGATAAAAGTAAAAAACAGATTAACATTCAACACCTGCTGGGTGAATCTCTCTTTTGAATAAAATGTTATGTCAGTAACGCTGGAAAACTCTCTGAGCCAATTCAGTTTTTGAGCTAAGAAAAAATGTTTTTTGACATGAAGAGTGCGAAGGTCTATGACTTCTTTTCTGAAAATATGGAAGCTTTAAACCAAGCCAAATCAGACAAAATTGGAAGGGAAGTAGCAGAAGGAAGTAGCACAACTGTGTTACGTCAGTATCACGACATGAATTGGGCTTTTTTCATACATGGGAGATATTCTAACTTTTTTGACGTTATGAGGTACACTTTCAACGGAAGTGCCTGTACCATCGCTCATCACTTATCATTATTTGCGCAATTGGTTCTGAATGTCGACTGGAACTGTCTTAGCGCAGAAGTATGCCTATTCTAAGATAGGTCTACCGTAAAAAGTCCAGATTCCTATTGTATCAATCTAAGGAGACGCGCAAAATATTCAAGGACAAGCGTCTACCTTTACGGCTATTACGAAGTCTATTATACACATTCGTGAAAGAAAGACTACAAGGGGCCTATGGGATTCTCAAAGCAACGACAAATTAATCTTCCACGTGAAATCCCAAAAATAATGGCCAACATATATTTTGCGATCCTACCCTTACCTCCAACGCACATGTAACCCCAATCGGTGAGAGGGGAGGAGGATGCAGACAGGGGGAAGTTTTTGTGCCTGTTAAAAACCTTCCAGGTCTCATCAGAGAGACACATAATGGCGCCAGTATCCTCGTTCAGAATGTCACCTCTCTTCAGTGCATCCTCCCCGATTCTAGTGCCTCCTTCATCCCACGTCGGTCCCTTCGATGAAGGAAATATATGAAATTAGATCTGCGGAAGCATCCGCATTCAGCTACGGCATTGAGCACATAAATCCTGGGGGGGGGGGGGACTACTGTGACAAACAATATGACACCAGAAGGGCACAGCTAGTGGACCTCCTTTCTTTAAAAATGGGTATTGTTGACCCCATGAAGCATATTACCTTCCATTTTTGAGTTTTGACATCCAATATCCATCTCTCAATCTTTTTTTTTCCATTTTAGTCCACCCCTTTTTGTGTTAGTAATTATTTTCGATTCTTATAAAACTTTCTTTCTGGATTGATTCAATCCTCTCAGAATATGGTTCGTTCACACGCATACTGAAAAAGATGAAATAAGAAGCACAGCAAGTGTACCACTCAATATTATTAATATAAATGGATCGCTTTATAAATAACTGTGAACGTTACATTGAACCAGTACTATAATTTGGCTTCATTTAGCCTGGATCATTTGTTTACAGTCAAATGGGTCTCCGAACGATAGGGTCCAAAGTAGTTCGAGTACATACAACCAATATGTGCCGTACTGCATCACTGTACCACTAGTATGCCGTCCCTACCCACGAAATCGATCGTGATTCACGTCTAATATTGAGTTGTGTAATTGATTCACAGTTTTATTTTGCTTCTTAGAAATGCCATAATGGCAAAAATACATACGATTACGCTGAAACTTTTACCCTGTATATAGAGATATAGAGATTTCGAAAATCGTAGCAACCGTGTGAATATCCTTAGGCAGATTGAACGAAGATGAGGAGAAGGGACGGAAGGACGAGAAACGGATAGACCATGATAAACTCACCAGGAGAAACTTTCCGTAATCGTCAAAGCTGAGAAGATCGTGCCGGCTGATATTTACATCGTTGCTCTCAGAGGCTTCCTGGACCTCAACGCATCCCTCATCTTGCATTGTCTGCCAAACTTCTTCATGGTGGGGTAAGCAGTCAACGATGATAAGTCTCGTTTGGCTCCTGGACACGCTCTCCAGAAGCCATTCATCATCCACGTTCACAGTGATAGAAACACTTGATTCACACCCCCGAAATTGCTCCAGATGAACAAACTCAAGTTGGTCAGCTTTTTCTTGACTGATCTTGACCGTTTTCAGGGATGATATCAGCTGCGCATTCGACACCAGCACATGGGCATGTTCAGCACTCAGTTCCTGTGTTATTGCGAAAAGAAAGCAGACAAGTGCATCCACACATGGCTTCATGTCTCGCACACAAACGTATCCCAGACGATGACCAGGACAGCTGCGTTTAATGCGTATATATTTGGGTTTGAGGCCCTGGATCAAAGCACCCGGACGAGAGGCAGTGGGTAGGCTCTTTGCTTGCAGCCGGAATGGATTGCTAGTTTCATTTTTGGAGATGTGATTCAGAAGTATGGAGTTTGTGAAGGCGGTCACGAACCTGGACCCCGGGAGAGTGATCACATGTGCCTCAGTTTGGGCCTGGAAAAAAGATATCAGTTTCTGCATGGAGATTGCTCGACCCCCTTTTGATTGGGGTTGGAATGCGACTGTGAGGGTGAGATTTTTAACCTCGTTAACCCCCCTTTTTAACTCGTTTAATGCTGCTGTCCAGTGTTCGATTTCTTCTTTAGCAAACCTGGCCGCAATGAGGTAATCATCGACATGAATGTGAATAGTTGAATCGGGATACTTCTCTTGTACTGCCTTAACTTGATCATGGTTTATGATGTCCATTGGGCAAGACACTTGCAAGGAAACGGGATGAACAGTGTCGATCACATTATGGTAATCTTGCAGACGACTCAGCGTGAGCTTCTGACTCATGATGCTACCTAGGAGAAAGAGAAGGACTCGATGTTGGCTATGGTCTTTATGGGCCACGTGCTTGATACTTTCGCACAATAATGTGCTTCTCCCTGAACAAGGGGGCCCGAAAATGACTGTTACACTTGGTGTTCTTTCTAGGATAAGCCCCTCCAATGAACCTTGATGATCGTTCGCCTTGTTTGTTAGAAGTTTTGTCTGCAACCATACACTTGGCTGGGAGGTGTACACCTCCCACTCTCCTTTTCTCTGGAGTGAGGATATCATGTCCTTCCACCATGTGATGGACATCATATCCAATATTTCCTCGGTTTTTGTGCAGTTCTTGACCTGAGAATATTTCCCTGTTTTCATATCGTCTTGCTCCATCAAGACTATTACATTCTCGTGACAAGATGATATAATCCGAGGGTAGTTTTTCCACTTGGACTCGGGTAGGTCTAAAATAAATGTGGTGAACTTCATGTGATATCCGACCATTTGATCACCAGTCACTATCACCACGCAGGAGGAGTTATGGATAGAGGATGTTTTTCTCAGGAACCCGTTCTCATCCACGAAAGCTACCCAGTTTCCTGGCACACTTGTGAGGGTCTTAAGCATAAGATTTCGCCGTTCCATTGTGTCCACCATCACAAATATGGGCTTTTCTGCAGAAATGGAGTACTTGGGAAGGAGTGCAAGAACGACATGAGAAGCCCTTACCGCCTGGCATGTAAGCTTGTCCTCGCAGTTGTCATAGACAGGGCACGAGGGTATCGCAAGCAAGATGGGCATTAGACCTTCAACGGGATAGCAGAATTCCACATCACGCAAGGTGGGTTCGAGACAGACAAAAACACGTCGCAAATACTCGCCAAGGGCTAAAAACAATTCCGTCACGAGACGGGTATTTCTTTTCACAACACTCAAGAGATGAACATCGACGTCTGCGATCTTGACACCTTGCAAGTAAATGTTCTTGCTATAAGTAAGGTCATTGGGACGAAATGCGATAGTAAGGCTCTTGACATGACTACGTAATTGAGAGATTCCCTCCCAGTGTTCAGAAATATTCTTCTCATCTAGTCGTCCTTGGAACCCCAATGTGAGGGAAACTTCGTCAAGTAGCACGTGCCGATTGCTCCCTCGCTCCTTCAAGAAAGCAATGAAATACTTTTGCTCTGCCAGCACATCTTCTTCCAGTACGTCTAGCACCTCGATGTTCTTGTGTTCTGCAAATGCATGAAGACCCATCGCCATATTCATTTCACGCACTAAACAGAAGATTCTGCCTGTGCCATACACAATCCCAATAGGTTTTCATTCAATCAATGATTATGAGTATGGAATGCATGTACAGTGGTACCTCGCATAACGAACGCAATTCGTTCCAGCGGTGCGTTCGTTATGCGAGGTGTTCCTTATGCGAAACACGATTTCCCATAGACGTCTATGGGAAATCATGTAATCCGTTCCACGTCGCCGCAAAAAATCAAGGAAATTAGGAAAAAATGTTTCACTTTCACTCGCGAACACCTCGCATAATGAACGCACCGCTGGAACGAATTGCGTTCGTTATGCGAGGTACCACTGTATATGCATGCGTGTAAATGTACCCAATAATATAGCTGGATCTCAAGCTTTTCGTGGTTACATAGCATGAAACCATTACATTGCCTACCGTGCTGGCGTAAAACATGGCCAATAGTTTCTACGTGAAGTAAAAACACCGTGGATATCCTTCCGGACTTTATAAATTACCGATGCCTGTTAACTACCCTCATTTTGTATTTTGTTTTGGGTTTGCCATACAATCATCGCCTATAATTTTATTTGGTGCCACGTTTCCTGTATTCCACAAAAAAAATTTTCCTCTACAGAACCAATGTTGAAAATGCATGGAAAGTAAGCAATATAAGCAAATCCCATGTGGACTCAATCCAGGCGTTCTGAACGACCCAGTCAAGTGTACTCCACAGTAAACTTCTCCCCCAAAAAGTTCGATTAAAATACGGCATGCTATGTTACCAGTGGATATGGTAGGTAATATATTTTCTCATCCTGTGAACAAAATGTGCACTGCTCAAGTAGGAAAACATTGACATCCATTTGCCTGTTTTTAGTGGGCATCCTTTCCTGAAAGGAGAGAGACCACTTATGGACCTGTCCTGTCCGTCCTTGTGTCTGTGTCACACTTGGATTATCCGATAACGAAACAAATGTTCGCCTGATCAATGCAAAAATTGCAGGCGGGTATATATAAATAATATACAGGCAGAGTTCCTTTTCTGGCGAATTTAAAAAAAAAATGGCAATTTTATTGTATATTTTGAATTCGAAATTTGATCACGAAAGGAAAGGCATGATTACCCATGAACCCTTCAGGTTCTGGACCACAATGCGCATGCGCTTACAACCCAAGCTTTGAGCGCGGCGCCGTGTCAGCGCCAGAGCTGTTAGTTTCTTTCCAACCCTGAAAAGTTATTGGCCATCAAAAGCATGCAATATAACTTTTGAACACCCTGTATATCTACCAATGGTGCGAAATCCTAAAGTGCTAATACCATTGGGTCCATTTTTGAAGATTCATGCGTTGCTACTCAAAGTAAAGTCATATATGAGTGCATATGAAAGCCATTGGTGGGAGATCACGAATGACAAACCTTGTAGGTTTCTCTTGAGTTCTTGTGTGAGACGTCCTCCAGCGAGATTCACCACGAGGACTTTTGTTCCTTCCTCCTTTGCAAGTCGCTTTGCTCTCTCTTTTATAACGAATGTTTTTCCCGTACCTGATCCCCCCGCAATGGGCAGGAGCCATGAGTATCCCCCTTCAACGAGTGCCTTCTGTGCTGGAGTCAATATGCACAGTGTCTTAGTCATTTGATCATCACTGAACTTGAAATGCTCTTGGAGAGTCCGTGGCAAATTGACAGAGGATGATGCACAGATGTAGAGCGAAAAAATGTCATGGAACAATTTTATCGCAGAATTAGTCATATTTTCCGCTGATGGCAGGTGGGTAATGCCGTTCATGTAGAGGAACCTTCGGAGATCATCTGGATGATGAATATCATCTTTCGTCAAAACCTTCCATGGACAAAGATCGCAATCCAGAAATTTCCTTAGGTCTCCTCTCACCAGATATGGAAATGATGGGAAGGCTATAACAATGACATTAGGTCCAAGGAAAGGCGCGCATATTGCCCTGAACACAGCGCTGTCTTTGTCACATTGATGTATTGCATATTTCATGATTCTGCGTACTGTCTTTGAATTTGCTCCCATTGAAGTTTTCTTAATTTGGAAGAATATGTTGTAAACTTCGGCTCCACTGGGATATGACATGTAAATGTCATGAGCACCTGTTGGTAGCTCAGGAATAACGTGCTCCTTTCTCAGTTCTTCCTTTTGCTCATTGGGAATCCTGGAAACGACCCCAGTGAAGGCCTTCCAGAAATCATATTCCGAAACAACTAAAGACGGGGCGGAGCCACATATATCTTTTGCCCGAGTGAAAACGGAAGCAACAGAAGCATCATTATCTGGAAGTTCTATTTCCTTTCCATTGACCGCTTTAACCTCTTCCAATGCCTTATGAAGGAGATGGCTGAAAGTTTCGTTCTTCAAGGGATATCCATAAGGGAAAGAATAATGAGTCTCCCATGCCTTCGGATAATGTTGAAGAATATAATCTTGAGCGGCGTCCCAGAATGGCACTGTCTTCCCAGCTCCGGTGTATACCTGAAACACGTTTCATCACGAATGCTTTCCTATGGGACTGCGGTATTTCTAAAGAAATAGGTATTCAAAATAAAATGACTATAAATCGAATGAGTGTTACCGTGCTTTCAGTTCCAAAGTGAAGAAATACAAATGAAAAATTTAGTCATGTTATTTCTTGAGGAAGAAAGTGGGGCTTAAAAAAGGAAATTAAACATTAAAATTTCATCAACATCCAAGTCATGTCAGTGCCATCGCTCAATTGTTCTGATTACACGAAATTTAGTCATCTAAAGAACACGAAGAGCATCAAGGCATCTCCTACGTTGCAGTGATGACGATGACAACGCTGATCGTCCAGTTTACTGAAGTCCGTGTCGATAAACCATATTAGCTGATCTTTTTCATATCTTACCATAACCCTGCCTGCAGAAGGGGGGAGGGAAGAGTGCAACCTTCCATGTGATACTCTGATTCAAAATATTAAATAGAAATAGCACCCTGCGGCCGCTACACTGGCCATCTAATGGGCGGAAATGTGAAAATGTTTACATGAAGATATGAAGCATGAAGTTCAAGCCTGACATTAACTATTGTGTTGTCCGCGCCAGCACTAATCGTTTCATCTACAGTGACTGCCTCATCGCCGTTCTGTGCAACGTCCACCAGCATTTCCTCTTCGCGTTCAACCGCACCATAGCGAAGATCGCACCATCAATGTGGACGGGAGAAGCGAAGGAGATTGCGCGACATATGAAACAAAGAGTTAACGTTATTTTGTTGCTTCATCAACCATAAAAATTGAAAAACCATCGGCCATGACATGAAACGCAATCAGTGCAGCATTACATGGTTGCGACGGCGCGAACCGCCACTCCTGACCTAAAATAATAAACTTGACAGTGAAACAATGCATTAACAAAGAATGTATTCAAGTGGAGATCCTGCAGCCAGTTGGTGGAAACGCGATACGCATGCACAGTGAGCTGTGTCAATCAGTAAACGGGCGCCACTAAGAATGAAGCATATGCAGATAAGATGCCATGGACTATGGCCTAGAATCGCATCGTCGATAGTAGGCGTCCAAATTGGAGAAAACATGCCATTTATTCCTATACCTCGTATGTCAAAATTCTAGCCGATGCGGACGATCGACTTGCGGCTGACCGTTTCTCGGTTGAATTTACTCTTCAACTGTCAAATGGTTTCCGTTATATAAAATATATATTAAAGCTTAACAATTGGTACACGATTATCGATAACCAAACGTTCCTCAGTCGTTTTCCTCCAACTTCTTTCTTTCGATCTCATTGCAGACACAATCCAACAGACACGCGACAAAGTGACACAGCGCCTCAGTCGTGTTTTCAAATGTGAACGCCTTTAAATGACCCCCGGAAAAGGAATTCAAATTACGTCTCAGGAAAAAAAATACTATCGATTAAGAATGCGAACACTTTTTACTTGATAGAGAATTACCTATTCTTTCGAATGGGATAAACCACGTCTAAATGAAATATACAATTCCAAAGTAATTAATTTTCAAAAGGTGGGTAGGACTCTTGACACCCTGTAGTGATTACCATCTACAGGATGCATCATTTAAAAGTAGACTAAACGTATTCCAACATTTATATAGCCAAGCCTACGTCCTGGAATAGCAGAGGCTTGTAGGCCCAGCGCTTAAGGTCGTGGAGGGCCTTGCCTATGGCCTAGAATGGCATTCCATCGTAGGTCGCGCGCTAGGGATGACAGTCACCAAAACATCGGCCTCTTTCTATTAAAGTATTAGATTAGTTTTCCTAATATTTAGGGAATATTATTGTCGAAGCCTCTACACCTTTCTTACGCCACTCCCTACTGAGGCATTTTTGTGAATAGTCCCCATTTCCTCAATGAATGAGTGGACATTATTACTATATGAATATTCAGGGTGTCCGAGAATGTTCACGTCCGTTTCAGATCAACATATCTCCTCCATGAGGAAAAATAGAAACATGCGGTTTGCACTAAAGTAAAGGTTATAGTTGCGAATTTACTCTCCATGCACAATATCTTTGGTAGTCCGTTAGTTTCCCGCTGTAAGTCGCTGTAAACCAGTTACCGCTATGTGTCGCTCCAAAAACAGTTACAATGACAACTGTGCAGAAAAAGACTAAATGCGTGACATAGTTAGCACAAGTAGGTTACGTATCATACACACATAAAAAAGTCGTGCTTGACACGAGTAACGGATTGAAATTTCGCTAACTATATCATGGGTAGTGTCCCTTTTTGATCTTGCTTTCTCGGTCTAGGCCTATTAATATGCTTTCTGACTGAATCCCTGAGTGAAGGCGTTTTCTAACCGGTCGGTTGGAAAATTTTTTTCCGAGCCTCGATCGGTTGGGAAAGATACTTATCTGTATCTAGAAGATGCAGTGAAACATTGTGAACCTTGTCCTAACAGGTCTTATTTTGGAATCTGTAATCGGACTGCACCTTCCGTTGTTTTCCAAGTCCACATTCAACAACCTACAGTACCTATCAAATGGAATTCC